TAGGAGAATTAGAAGAGTGATTAGTCAAATGAACAAACAAATATTGATGTGATGTTTTTACTGTATAATTAGCAAATAGATCTCGTATTGAAATCTTAAATTAGCAAAAGAATAAACTAAACAGAAAACCTTATGATACTTTCTGATGAAAAAATTGAGAGAATCGAGGGCCTTCTCACAGAATTGTTTCTGGGTGTTTCCATGGACCGGATTTCAGATGATTTTCAATCACAGATGATAGAGTTGTGTTCTCATGTATTCTGCAGGGAAAGCAAAAACCAAGAATAACAATTGAAAAAGACTCGAACGATATTAGGAAAAAAAAAAAAAAAAAAAGAAACGTGTATGCATAATTCCCCAAGTAAATCTGCTATAGTCAATGTCCTCACCCATGATCAACCAACACAACATCAGTAGAATGAAACTGCCATTAGATGGTCCACGATATGAACTTCTTCCTGGAAGCAAATGCAAATGCAAATGCCAAAAAAAAAAGGTGATAAATTGACACTTCAAAGACAAAGCGTGGTTCATCTTCACTCATTCGCTACCCGTGTGATCGTGAAATCACACAAGCAAACACAAATCTCGTGCAATTACTTGTAGTTGTAAGTCTTATTATTCTGTCTCTTAGACATTCCACTCGAAAAAACAGCAGCCTCGTCCTCCGGTTTGCGGCGGCATTCTTAAGGTTTTTGAGGGGAAAAGGAAGCTTAAAATGAGAGTGTCCACATAACTTTACTCTCAACCTCTGAGCCGACGCAACTCTTTTCATGTCCTCAAGCATGTTATAATCTACCAAAAGAAAGATAACGGTAAAAGAAATAGAAAAAGTTACTAACAAATTGCAATGAAGGATAAAGAGCATTTGCACATACACACTATAATCTTTCTCTTCGAGTTTGTTGGGATAGGAATGGAGTCAGATGATAATTACAAGATCTGTTGTAGATAGAATATTCTGAAATACTAGACTGAGTGAAGGTAGTATTCTGTCACTTGCAATTTTCATGGTTTTGCGGTCAACGTTTTGGGTTCGAAGTGAAGGAATGTTAATACTCGATTCTAAATTCTTGGCAGGAAAAAATTTATTAATGTTTATTGCTACCTTCAATTCATAATTCAGTTATTCATCGTTCTCTTTGTATTGTGTGATCAACCGAAAACCGAAAAAAACTTACTCACTGAAAATCAAATCCATTGACAGTTAATGTTATAAAAACTCAGTCGAAATAGATTTCAGAGTATTCAAACAACTTTGACAATATTTTTACATCCAAACATAAAATTCAGTCTAAATGTTCTCTTGAGACTATTTTTACATTCAATAAAATTCAGAGTCCAAATCAATCAATCAACAAGCTGTTAAAATCCCACTAAGGCCTTGTTTGGTAAATGGCTTTTTGGCCAGCTTTTAGCTTTTTGAGCAATTTTAGAGGTTTGACCAAACTAAAACTGCTAAAATTTGTGTTTGGTTAGATAGCTTTTAAAGTTGGCGGATTGAATGAAAAAGCTGAAATTGAAAACGCTCCCATTTGGAGCGTTTTGGAAGATCAATGGCTTTTTTGGTTGAATGGGCCTAATTAAGGGGTTCCTTTATGTAGTGAGGTAAATATTTAAAATATTTATATAAATAAAATGCAATGACGTGAATGAAAAGAAAAATATATATAGAAAAAAAAAAAGAAAAGAAAAATATATAACTAAATTGTTAGTAGTTGTACAAATAATTACATGTAAAAATAAAAATATTTGATTTACTAGTTTGCCATTTTAGAAATTATGTACAATTATTTATCAATTTTCTTTCTTATTTAATAAGTACTAGAAAAATAAATTTATCCTAGATAAACACAATATTAAATTATACTAATACATTTCTAAGTAACTATATAATACACAAATAATTAAAAATAACTAATTTTACCAAACACTAATTTACAAATCGTTTACATAATCAGCTGGTCAAAACCGCTAACGAAATACGCTGGTCAAAACAGCTAATGCAATCCGCTAACAGCTAACAGCTAACCGCTGATTACCAAACAAGGCCTAAGTAGAGTCGGCTGTATAGATCACATGTCGCCATCGTGCTCGATCAAGCCACATATCTTCATATAAATTTAAATATTTTATATCATATCATTGTCTCCTTACAAGTTTTTTTAGGCCTAGCCCTCTCCCTTTAAATTTGCGTTCTTAATTCTAATGTTTCTTCCATTTTCACTAATGCCTCGAAGTCTCTCCTACACACATGCTCAAACCATCTTAATCGTGATTATATCACTTTCTCCTCTATGGGCGCTACTCTAACTTTATTTCTAATACTTTCATTTTTAGTCTTATCTAACCTAGTATGCCCACTCATCCATCTAAACATTCTCATCTCTGCCTCTCGGTTTTTTTTTTTTTTTTTNNNNTTTCATTTTTATATTTAGTAACCCAACACTCAGATCCATAAAACATCGTCCATCGAATGACAGTTCGATAGATCTTATCAAACTCACTGTTACGATCACAAAGTATCGACGGCGAGCTTATTTACTTGTTCTAACCCGATTGAATTCTATGTGTTACATCTTTATTTATGTTGCTATTATCTTCTACAATGAATCCTAAATATTTAAAACTTTTAGACATGTTCAATTCGTGTTCTCAATTCAAACCTTTATCCCATTATTTCTCATTTAATTTCACTCCATATGTACCGTTTTGGCCCTTCTTTTTGAAACCCTTTGTTTCAAGTACATACCCATGTTTCTAAGTTAGCCTTTCCCCTCTCTCGTTTCATCTACTAACACTATGTCCTCCGCAAACTACATACGACATTCAATTGGAAATGCTTCGTAAGTTCAATAATTCAGAGAATGAGAAGGAACTTTTGCAGAGACATATCAAACGTGCCAAGAGGGTTTGTTCACGGTAAAGTGCTACAACTTGAATTACAATTCTCGATGTAATTGTGAACTCATGGTATATGATGCAGTAGGATACTCAATGGAAACAACTCAGGATCAGCATCTGGATCTATGCAGATAAATAATACTACCAGATGTAGAAGTTTACTAGCATCATATACCAAGTGCATGCTTGATTACCTACGAAAAACCCACATCACTAAAACTCATCTAAAAGCGAAAGGCAAATTATAATCACGTTACACAAAAAAAAAAAAAAAAAAAAATCGATATTACTCGGGCCAAAAAACACATCGAGCAGCATAATTGCATATAGCCAATTTCCTAAGCTCTCATCCAACACCTTGTAATCCAAATCCAATCCAAATCCAGGTTAAGTTCCCTTATCGACGGTATATTCTAAAATGCAAACAACATTAAATGAGGAAAAGACATATTGTTGTGGTCGTACAACATGAACAACACACAAACATTGGGGATGGTTTTATGGCTAATGTAGCAGGCCACATCCCTCATCCTCCTCAGCAAAACATATAGTAGGCTATATTCCTCATCCTCTAGAGGGGGTTTGGGTGATATGGCTAATGTAGCAGGCCACATTTCTCATCCTCTAGAGGGAATGGGGTGATATGTCTCTAGAGTCTCGGTCGATAAGGAATGTGGCATGCTATAATAGTCATAGCACCCAATGTTTTGTGGATTGTTATGAACACAACAATGTATTTTCCTCATTTAATATTTGCTTGCATTGGAGAATATACCACCGATGAGGAAACTTATGGGTTGTTGGATGAGAGCTTAAGGAAATCAACAATGTCTTTTCCTCACTAATATTGTTTGCTTTGGAGAATATATAATCG